CGCCTCCTGTGGACGCTGTGCCCCTTCAAACCGACCTCCCGAACCCCCCCCCATGAGTCCAAGAGGGCCCCGAGTCGCCGAACGAGCGCTCCAAGACGCCCAAGGCGGCCTCAAGATGGCCCAAGAGGACTCCAAGAGGCAGATGGTCCTTCGGATCTAAAAGGATTTTGGCGTTCTCGTCTTTTCGGCCGTCCGACGCTCTAAGGCGGCCCAAGAGGACCCCAAGACGGCCCAAGAGGCCTCCAAGAGAGCTCCAAGAGAGCCCCAAGACGCCCTAAGAGCGCCCAAAGGCGGCCCAAGAGGCGCCCAAAGGAGGGCCTCAAGATGCCTCAAGGCGGCCCCAAAAGGGGCCCAAGAAAGGGAACACGAATCGAAAATCCGAGCCTTCCGCCCCAAGAGACCACCAGAAGGCCCCAAGAGGCGCCAAAGCACCCAAGATGCCCCAAGAGGCCCCTAAGATGCTCAAACGAGGCCCCTAAGAGGCCCCAAAACGGCCCCAAGGAGGCTTCAAAACTGCATCCAAGAGGCCCCCGAGAGCCCCCCCACGAGATCCCAACGAACATCCAATAGGCTTCATACTCACAATACAGGCACGGTGACGGGATGGGTCGAATGCCATTTGAAACTCACAACGACGGTACTCGCAACTGCATTTGGATGAGTCTTCCGCCAGGCTAACCTTCTCTTTGCGCGGGCCGACGCGGGCGCAATTCTCTCTACCCTAACCGCTCTGTCCTTCGTGTTTCCAGCTCTGTGTTTCCAGCCTCCCCGTAGAAGGCAGCAGCAGGAGGAGGAGGAGGAGGAGGAGGAGGGGGAGGAGGAGGAGGAGGGGGAGGAGGGGGAGGAGGAGAGATCCCCAAGCGGTCCCCTGCGACTGCAATGGGGAAACCAAAAAAGGACCGATGCCGCTACCCCAGACCTCTCCCAGGGGTGCGCTCTGACCAGGATCTCGAGGCGATTCCAGCGGCGGCGGCGACGGCCTCCCAGGAGACCCAATAAGGCGAGAACGAGGGAAGGGTAGCGAGGGGTACAGTGGAGGCCCGACCACAAGAAACCTTCCACAAGAAACCCAACCCCGAGACCCCAGGACGTCCACTGCTCTTCGGTGTGGGAACGTCACGCCTCCTACATAGCAAAACCATCGAAACCCAAGAAACCCTGGAGGCAAGCAGGGTGCTTCTTGGCATGGGTCTCCACTGTATGGGCTGCCCCCTTCGAGTTTCGAGGGGCATATCCCCAAGTGGAGCGGTGGGATGCTGGAGATCGGGAGGGGGAGGAGGAGGAGGAGGAGGAGGAGGAGGAGGAGGAGGAGGAGGAGGGAGGAGGGAGGAGGAGGAGCAGCAGAAGGAGGAGGAAGAGGAGGAGGAGGAGAGAGGAGGAGGAGAAAGAGAGAGGAGGAGGAGGAGGAGGAGGAGGAGGAGGAGGACGAGAAGGGGAAGGAAAAGGGGAAGAGGAGGAGGAGGAGGAGGAGCAGGAGGAGGAGGCACCTTGGAAGCAAACAGGATGTTTCTTGGCATGTGCCCTCACTGTATGGGCACCTTTTCCTCTCCTGAACTCTGAGGTCTTCGACCCGCTCGCTCCGTGCCCAGCTCGACCGTGCCGCAGCGCGCCCCCCCCCTCCCCCCCCCGGTGCTCCACGAGACCGCGCCGCCCGCTGCCCGGCGCAGGGCGGCGGGGAAGCTCCTTGCCCTCGGCGCCGCCGTCGTACGTAATCCTCCACCGGCAGGGGTCCCCGAGGACTCCTCGTCCTCGTCCTCGTCCTCGTCCTTCTCCTGCTCGTCCTCCTCGTCCTCCTCGTCCTCCTCGTCCTCCTCCTCCTCCTCCACCACCTCCTCCTCCTCCTCCTCCTCCTCCTCCACCACCTCCTCCTCCTCCTCCTCCTCCTCCTCCACCACCTCCTCCTCCTCCTCCTCCTCTTCCTTTTCCTCCTCCTCCTCCTCCTTTTCTGCAGCAACGCAAGACCAAGAACTGACGCGTTGACGTCGACACTGGTTTCTGTCACCGCGTGGCCCGTTCAACCCTGAGCGATCGCGGCTGTCAAGCGTCGCCGATCTGTCGAAGTCGGCCGCTGTCGGGCCGCCGGCGGCGCTCAAAATTTGAGCGCCCGAGCTGGCGTCGCTGCCGCGTCCACGCGGCGCGAACCTGCCGTGAGGGGTCGACTACTTTTCGCCAATGGACCTGTGGTGTTGTGGATGCCACGACAATGGACACCCTAACAGTCCTATCATCGAATTAAACATGCGTTTAAAATGTCGGAAACATGTGCTGGACATGTTAAAAACATGTTTTGAAACATGTTTGTAAACAGGTCCAACACAATTTCTGAACATCTGGAAATCACGTGGCAACATGCTGCCTCTCCATTGATCGCCCTGAACAACTGCGTGATACAGCCGGGCAGGCGCAGAGAAAATGCAGCAGATCCGAACACGCGCGGGCAGCCCCAGGCAGATCCAGAGACGTCCAGAGACCTCCAGGGGAGATCCGGACCAGATCGTCGCCGCTCCAGCGCGAATCGAGGGGCGGCAGGGGGCTCGGAGCTCTCAACGGAGCGGGGGCGGGGGGGCGAGGCGAGAGGGAGGCGTCGGGCGGGGCCGAGAGAGGCGCGAGGGGCAGGCTCGGCGCCAGCGTTAGGTCGGGCGCGTCCCCCTGCAGGCGGACTCAGGACGAGAAATAAAACGTAGTCAGAACAATACCGTCGAAAATGCCCGAAAGTACTCCTGGAAACGTCCCCAAAACTATTATTGCTCGACTGTTTTTGAAAATCCCCCCCGTCGCGGGACACGCCCGACGTCGCGCCGGCGCGCCCTGCGCCCACGCCCCCGCAGAGGCGAGGCTCGGGGCCGCGCGGAGGCGAGGAGGCGGAGGGGGAAGCAGGAGGAAGGGGGGGGGGAAGGGCGGGAGGCCGCGCACGGCTCGGAGCGGAGGGAGGGACGGGAGGAGCGGAGGGCTGTTGTAATTCGTGGAGCGACCTAAAGTCGAAGACAAACGATGTTTAAGAAATAGGCAAAAACAAAAAACACACTATGAAAAACGACCTAGAGGCTGAAGTCGAGCAAAACACGATCAAGACACCGCCCCCTCGGAATCCGAGGGCCCCTCGTCCTCGCGCTCCTGGGGGGGGGGGCCTGGCCGCCGCCCGGCCCGGCGCGCCTCCACGTCGGGGGGTGCCCCCCTCGATGGGGGCCGGAGGTGTGCGCGGAGGGAGGGGGGCGGAGGAAGCAAGGGGGGGGGGGAACAGAGAGGCTGGGCAGGGCGGGGCGGCGGAGAGAGGATAATCGGGACTGGCTGACTGACGAACTGACTGACTGACTGACTGACTGACGAACTGACTGACTGGCTGGCTGGCTGGCTGGCTGGCTGGCTGGCTGGCTGGCTGGCTGACTCTTGCGGCGAGCTCCGGGGGGGGGGGGAGCGGCAGGGACCAGGCCTCCTCAGAAGGCGGCGGGGCCTCTCGGAAGCCCTCCGGCCTTCTGAGAAGTCTTCTGCGCCTTCGGAGATACCCGGGGACCCTCTCGGAAGGCCCGCGGCCGCCCGAGCCTCCCGGGAAGGCCTGCCCCCTCTCACTCCGCCCCCCCCCCCCCGGACTCGCCGCCCATGGCTGACCGACTGCCTGAACGCTGGAGACGACAACTCCAGATTTCGTAATAAAAAGAGGGGGGTCTCATTTCGGAGGGGGTCTCTTCCAGGCTATCTTGGAGGGCCTGGGGGGGTCTGGGGACGATGTTTTGGAGGGTTCTCCCACGGGGGGGGTCTAAAAATTCTCGTCTGGGAGGGTTGAGACCCCCTCCCTTTCATTATGAAATCTGGAGTAGGGCTCCCAGCTTCGCGCTTCGCGCTGCGCGAGGCGCGAGGCGCGAACAACTTCGCGCTCCCGCGCCGCCCCCCAAAAGGGAGAAAAGGAGGACGAGGAGGAGGGGGAGAAGGAACGAGGACCGCGAAGCGCGAATAACTTCGCGCCCTCGTGGGAGCCCTAGACGACCTCTGAGCCTTCAGATCAAGCAGGGCTTACAAGGAGCTGAGGCGGCGGGTCGTCCCTGCGACGGCCGAGGGCCGAGTGAGCCAGGGAGTCAAACGGGCAGGGGGGCCACATGCGAACCCGACCCCTACCCCCACGATTTCTGAAGGGGAAGGGTGGGGTTCACATCGTTCGGGAGCTCCCGAGCGAAGTGAACCCCACCCTGCCCCTCAGAAGTCGTGGGGGGTAGGGGTAGGGTTCGCATGTGGCCCCCTAGCGGGTGCCCCTGCTGGGGGGATCAGGAGGAGCAGCAGGTGCTGGAGGAAGGGGGTGGGAAGAGGGTGGCGCCTCCTCTGACGAGGCAGGGGAAATAGGACAACACGTCACTGCACCGACCTTGCAGACGTGCTGCAGCGGACTTCTGTTTGGACCCCTGTCAGTGCAAGACCACGAAACGGCGGGGGAAAAACGGAGTCAATTTCGCGAGGATTGTTTCAAATCTTCGTAACGGGCCACCGAAACATCCGCACGAAATTCACCTCGGAATCCGGAACGAGATTCTCCAGGACACTCCGGGCCCATCCGATCGCTTTCCCAACGAGATACGCTCCGCGATGTTGGCGCCATGAAACATGGCCAACCGACAGATGCATCACCCGGGGCCGACGAAAGCACCGCAGGAAGGGCCGCACACCGGCATGGGCGACGTGCCTGCCCGATGCACCCACGCACTGCAGCCGGACCGTCCCATCTCGCTGCCCTTCCTCTCGCCTGCGACCGCTCTCTTGCTCTCTCTCTCTCTCTCTCGCTCTTGGTCTCTCTCTCTCTCTCTCTCTTTCGCTCCCTCTCTCTCTTGTTTTATTTCTATATATATCTCTCTCTTTCTCTCTTGCTCTCTCTCTCTCTTGCTCCATCTCTCTCTCTCTCTCTCTCTCCAGATTCCTCGCTCCCCCTTCCCATGCATCCAAGCCCTGCCCCTCCCGTGCCGTCGCCTCCTCCCCGCCATCCCGCCCTCGCCCTCCCTCCGCCTCTCCCCCCGCGCTTTTACCCTCGAAGCACGGGGCCCCGCTCGGATATCCGAGATCTGCGCGGGGCGGTTTAAAAAAACAACAACAAAGGGGGGGACGGCCGCCGAGCGGCCGTCGGAGAACACGAGGCAGGGCTCGAGTTAAACAGTGTTTTCCGCTTTCGTTTTGTTCCCTACCTAGGCTCTGCCTAGAAGGGTTCTTACTCTATATGTGCTTAAAGGGCCGGGCCGTGGGGCTCGCCCCAAGCGGTTCCCCCGGCATCCGCCCCGCGGTTCCCCCAGTTGCGCCCCCTGGGTTCACCCAGCTTAGCTTAGCTAAGCTTAGCTAAGCTAAGCTTAGCTTAGCTTAGCTTAGCCTATTTCATCTTAGCTTAGCTTAGCTTAGCTTAGCTTTGCCTAGCCTAGCTTGGCTTAGCTTAGCTTAGCTTATATCATGTTAGCTTAGCTTAGCTTGGCTTAGCTTATCTCATCTTAGCTTAGCTTAGCTTAGCCTAGCCTAGCTTAGCTTAGCTTAGCTTAGCATAGCTTAGCTTACCTTAGCTTAGCGCAGCATAGCGCAGCGCAGCATTAGCAGAGCATAGCATATCATAGCATAGCCAATCATATCAGAGCATAACATTGCATAGCTCAGCATAACACAGCATATCATAGCATAGCATAGCGCAGCTATGCATATCATGGCATTGCATAGCATTGCTTAGCATAGCACAGCGCAGCATAACATAGCACAGCACAGCACAGCACAGCCCAGCATAGCAATGCGCAGCATAGCATATCATAGCATAGCATAGCATAGCACAGCACAGCACAGCATGTCATAGCGCAGCACAGCATCCACTATTGCTGCTGCTATATGTTGCTTTCCTAGAGGCTCCAACTCCTAGGTAGGGTCGCACTGGGATAAATTTCGGCATCCCTAGTTCTGTCTTCGTTCCACATTTGCTGCAGAACGAAGTCAAAACGAAGACGGTCCACGAAACTGCCAAAAACACCGTTTCGCTCGAGCCCCGACGCGAGGGGGAGAGGCGCGGGGGAGGGGCGCGGCCACTGGAGGAAAGGGGGCCTGCGCGCCGAGGGCCGGGGGGGCGAGAGTGGGCGGGGAGGCGAGGCGGTGGGGTGGGAGAGCGAGGAGGGCGGACAGCGAGGGAGAGAGAGAGAGAGAGAGAGAGGGAGGGAGAGAGGGAGGGAGGGAGCGAGGAGAGCGGACAGCGAGAGAGAGAGAGAGAGAGAGAGGATGGCAGAGCGAGGAGGGCAGTGGGATGGCAGAGCGAGGAGAGCGGACAGCGAGAGAGAGAGGGAGGGAGGGGGAGAGAGAGAGAGAGAGAGAGAGAGAAAAAAAAAAAAAAAAAAAAAAAAAAAAAAAAAAAAAAAAAAAAAACATGAAACAAACAAACAAACAAAAAAAGGGGCGAATAACCCAACCCCAAGGTAGACGAGTGGCGAATGCTGGCAGGAACGCTCAGCGCACACGAACACACTGAAGGATCGGCAGTACGCACGAACGCCTCGCCACAGAACGGAAGACATGATTCAGTGCGCGCGCACTCTCACGACTCGAATATGACACGGTCAAGCGATGGCGAATGCCGAACGCGCGGCGGAGCACGATGACGAAGGCAGAGGGAGCAGGACGAGGAATAGCAGGGCCTAGAAGGAGGAGGAGGAGGAGGAGGAGGAGGAGGAGGAGGAGGAGGAGGAGGATGAGAGGAGGAGGAGGAGGAGGAGGAGGAGGTGGAGGGGAGGGAGGAGGGGAGGAGGTAGGGAGGGAGGGAAGGAGGGAGGGAGGAGGAGGAGGAGGAAAAGGAGGAGGAGGAGGAGGAGGAGGAGGAGCAGGAGGAGGAGGAGGAGGAGGAGGACGGACAAGTCCACGACAGCTCGCACCCCCGCCCCTGGCGCTTGCGGGCCTGCACGGGACGAGCCCGACCTCCGCTGGGAGCCCTCCCGTGAAGAGCGCCCGGGCCCGGGCCGGCGGCGGCGCGCCGGAGTGCACCCCGAGCAGCTGTGCGGACGCCGCCGTTGGGGTCTTCGGTGGATCTCCCCATGGGGCAGTTTTTAAAGCATGAGATTTTGGGAACATGTAGGATTTTGTAAACATGCTTAAAGTATGACTAAATTTGCTGCGCGAGCGCATCGTTGAAAACGATAATAAGTCCTTGCATTCTTGATACACGATCCGCACGCGGAGCATGTATCAAAAACGGCACTGTATGGGGCCACGAAGTGTGCGAGGGGTGTGCCAACATGGGCCCGAAAAAGAATTCCTCCGGATGGGGCCACGAAGCATGTGACGCGTGTTCAGAGACAAAGCCGAGTGACCATGCGGACACAGTCACTGGGGCCTTCGGTGGAGCTCCCTATGGGGCCACGAAGCGCGAAAGGGGTGCGCCGCATTGACACGAATAGCCATGCGGGCGCTGTCACCGAAACCCTCGATGAACCTCCGTATGGGGCCACGAAGCGTGCGAAGGGTGTGCAAAAATAAACCCCAACAGCCATTCGGACGCTACCACTGAGG